AAATAAAATTAGTAACAAGCTTTGGTGGAATGAAGACGTCGAAAATGCGGTAACAGAAAAGAAAAGATTATACCATAAGTGGTTGAATACAAAAGATGACGCAGACAAAGACCGATACAATGAAATGAAGAAGAAAGCTAGAAAGATAATTATGACCTCCAAAAATGAGACATGGGACAGAAGGTGCAGAGAGATAGAATCTTATATTGGAGGACGACAATGCACTGAGGCGTGGAAGTTTATAAACTCTGTTAAGAAGCCGACTAACGAGAAAGTGATTCTAAATCCCATAAATCCCGAGGATTGGACACATTATTACAAACATCTATTAAATGAGAACAGAGACGAATTTAAAGAAGATATGAATTCATCAAGAATCGAAATTCTGGGAGAGCATATTACCATAGATATCAACACAGTTCAAAAAGCTATAGCAGGGATGAAGAATGGGAAAGCAAGTGGACCAGAGGGAGTAACTACGGAATTAATAAAGAATGGCTCAGAGAAATTACACAGAATGATCACGGTGATATTTAACGAATATATTAATGGACATCCAACACCAGATGAATGGAAAACAGCATATATGACCCCAATATATAAAAAAGGTGACAGGAGAAATTGTAAAAACTATAGAGGGATATCGGTCACAAGTTCAATGAGTCGACTATACGGTCGAATACTACGGGACCTGATAGAGGAAGATTATCAATCGTCTGAAGACGAAGAACAAGGAGGATTTAGAGCAGGTCGTTCATGTACAGATAACATCTTCTGTCTTAAACAAATTATAGAAAAGAAAGTTGTGACAAATAGAGAGTTACATATGACTTTTGTAGATCTTGAGAAGGCATATGACACAGTCCCGCTAAATAAACTATGGGAAGTCCTGGGCACATCAAATATACATCAAACATTGGTTAGTGCTCTCAAAGATCTATATTATGGTTCAAACTCCCAAATGAAATTCGGAAATCTCTTAGCTGAAAAATTTGCAGTTACTAAGGGTCTCAGACAAGGATGTTGTATCTCTCCGACTCTGTTTAAGATTTATATCTCTGCAGCTCTGAAACAATGGAAAAGGAAAGTCAAAGGAATGGGTATACAATTGAACGATCAGGATTACATATATACTTTACAGTTTGCAGATGATCAGGTGGTGATCTCAAATGACAAAGACGACATGGAATACATGCTTAGAAAACTAATTGAAGAATACCAGAAATGGGGATTAAATATCAATTTAGAAAAGACAAAATACCTCTCAATTGGAGCTGAAGCAGAACAACTCGATATCGATGACAATCAAAAAGTAAATCCATGTGACGAATATAAATACCTGGGCGTCATCTTCGACCGTAGTGGAAAAGACGAACGAGAAATAGAACATCGAATTGTACAAGCACGAAGAGCTATAGCATGTTTGAACGGAGTTCTATGGAGTAAAGAAATATCAAAGAAAAGAAAATGGAACATCTATGAGACAATGGTTAAAACTAGCCTACTTTATGGAGCTGAGACATGGAGAATAACCGAGAAATATAAGAAAAAGGTCGAAGCCACGGAAATGGATGCCATCAGAAGATCGATGAGAATATCAAGAGCCGACAGAATACGGAATGAAGTGATAAAACAACAAATGGGTATAGAGGGCACTATAGTTGAGGATATTGAGAGAAAACAGCTCATATGGTATGGACATGTGAGCCGAATGGGGGACGAAAGATTGCCTAAAAAAACGATGATGTGGCAACCCCCAGAGAAGAGGAAACGAGGAAGACCACCACAGAGCTGGAACCTGGGAGTTAGGAAAGCGATTAGCGCTCGAAATCTGGACGAAGACCTAACTCAAGACCGAATACAGTGGCGGTTGGGAGTCGGACAACGTCGTAAGACGTTATAAAACCGAATGTGAATATATATATATATTTATCTTAATTGTGTTACTTTTGAATAAGTGCCATTTTGGAGTGATATGGCGCGTAGGGTTTTGAGATAACTGAAGTAATAACTTCCGTCCTCATACAGGATCTTTTCTACTAGCTCACGGACTATAAACGTTTATCCATTCCGTAACCACCACGTTCCAGCAATGAAACCCTCCCTCTCTTCACATCCCTTCCCGAATTGACCCGATCATAAAGTCTCGCCTCCCTCTTCGCCCCAACTCCAACTCTATCCTCAATTAACGGTAAAGTGCTCCCGATATCGCGTTCTATAATCGAAACCATGTGCAAATTCGGATTTATCATGCTACTAATCGTTATCGAGTTTAGATACTCCAGTTATTCGTTGCCTGCTCTGTTCTCCTCCAGTTCGCTATCACCCGACCAAGCCGACGATTACCTAATACCATTCAATCGACGACGGCTATTTGGCTATTCGATATTCTCTCTAATCTTTATTTAAGGTTTTCTCGATTGCGGTAGGCATTCCTACATTTAACCAACCCTCCATACCTCCGCTATTTAAGATTTTTATGATCATTTTATTTCTTGGTCCAAGAAAAATATTTTGCCTTTAAAAATATTTGAAACTTAAAGTGTTATATAGATATATTTGGGTCTATTAATTAAAAATTGTAATAATAAAATTACATTGAGAGAGTTCGGCCCTGAATGAGATACCGAAAGGAGTGTTTGTTTTGGTCTAAACAAATTTGCAAATTTTATGCAATAATTATAACAGTTTATTTATAAATCGTTAAGTGACAATTACATGCATTACCAGTAAGTGCGTCCCAAAAATATTATATTTTCCTCCCGACTATCCAATAATCGGATTTGCATGTACCTTGCAAACAAACAAGTCGTGGACGAATTCATGCAAAATCATGGACAAACAGAAATCCAGAACAATATTGTACAAGCTAGAAGATTAATCTCACCAGCAACACGTATTGTTTTTTCAAACGTATGTCCAACAATACCACACAGTCTGTTAGTTGAATATCTACAAAGTATTGGACTTAATATGGTCTCTCCTGTCACTTTTCTAAAAATCAGTTCCACTCTTTCCGAATATAATCATATTTTAAGTTTCAGAAGACAAATATACGTCAGTCCCCATAATATCTCCTTACCCGACTCATTCACCTTAGACTTCGATAATACAACATATCGAATATTCTTATCTCAAGAAACTATGGCCTGTTATAACTGCAAAAAGTCTGGTCATATCGCCACCAACTGTCCTGATAAACTAGAATCAACAACAAACTTAATTGATTCTAATAACAGTCAATCTACTACTTCTTCCTCCTCTGACATCATGCCTCAACCTGCAGCAACATCCATATCAAACGAACAAATGTCCGTCCAAGGAAAATTAGCAAACAATCTGAGCAATCCTAACATTGCTAATGGTCAAGAAGAAGTTAACACCATGGAAAGCTGCAAAGTAATTAATATCGATCTCCAGCCGAAACGTAGTATCAATGATGTTCTTACGTCTCCAGAAACAACTTCTGAAACAACAGAAAAATCATTTGCTGTACCTACATCCAAACCTAGAGTCAAGAAAGTTAAAAGCAATGAGGAGCATACATGCATAAAATCAACAAAATCATATGACCTTGAGCCTGCCAAAGATTTTATCCAAAATCATCTACCCACATTTGTCCTCAATTTTGACCAATTAAATCTACTTCTAAGCAATGTTAGCGGCGTGCAGGATCCTTCTAACATAATTCAAGAGTTTACTTCTGACCTTGTGGGATTAGTTCGTATGCTAACTAAAGTTCATCCATAATTAAAAGATAGATCAACCAAACGTCATATCACCTTCTTAAGAAAGAAAATCCTCCAACACTTTCGTAACGACATCTCTGAATCCGAGGGCGAGTCATCTCAGGATAACCCGTAAATTCATATTTTTTCTTATATAATATAATTCACTAAACTACTGCAATGGAATATAGATGGATTTTTCCATCGACTTCCCAATCTAGATCTAATTCTCCGTCAGCATTACGAACATTGCTATAAAATATTTACAGATGCATCTAAGTGTGATAAACGAGTAGATGCTGCATTCGTTACTCCAAACGATACATATCAATTTCGTCTCCCAACCTTCTTTTCGATTTTCTCCGCTGAACTCTATGCAGTGTTTAAAGCTATCATACATATAAATTCTAATAACATTCCTAACTCTGTTATCTTAAGTGACTCACTAAGCGCCCTTCAAACCCTTAAACAGATCTATCCTAAAGGTCCCCTTGAGAAACTGATAAAACTAGAACTTATGCAAGCTCAAGAAAATTCTAGGAGTATCAGATTTATATGGATTCCATCCCACATTGGCATTGCTGGCAACGAAAGTGCGGACCAGTGCGCGAGTGAAATTGCTAAATGTGCCAATATAGAAAAAGCCGAGTATCGAAATACCGCGAGTGATATAAAAGCCTTTATAAAGAATCGAGTTTTGTGCAAGTGGAAAAACGAATGGCAATCTTCTCAAACATCACTGAAGCAAATTAAAAATGACGTTGCAGCTTGGAAACCCTCAACAAGGAACAGAAGAGAACAATTGGTGATAACGAGATTACGAATTGGACACACGAGACTTACTCACTCATACTTATTTACCAAAAGTGATCCACCTATTTGCGAAACATGTAATGTACAATTAACCATTAACCATTTATTAATTGAATGCCATAGATTTGCCAATTTTCGTGTTACATTTAACATACCTAAGAGTTTAAGTAATTTATTAGGCACTAATTTCTCAGCTAGTAATATTGTAAAGTTCTTAAAATCTATAGGACTATTTTATAAACTCTAATTTTGTAATTCTGTAGCCGCCGCTAATAACCATTATGGTGGATGCGGCTGTAATTTCTAAATAAAAAAAATATATTACATTGATTTAGTTTCAAACAAGATAAATCGTTAAATTTCCTAATGAAAAAGGGACGAACCAACATTATTTAAAAAAATACTTAAAAATGTAACAAATTTATTAACATTTCATTGTATTGAACTACTGCTAGAATGATACTATTCCTTGTTCACAACTAAAAGAAACGGATTCTCTTATTTGCTGGAGGCCAGACGTTATTTTCAATCCATTTGATATAATATGAAATTCTGATAAAAGCCGCTGGTAGTTCTTTCTTGCCACAAGCTCTTGATTCGAAGGATGAAACTCCTACTGCATAATACATGCATGGTTCCTCATTACTATCTTTGCGATCTATCTGCAGAGCACTGCCAGAATCAACCTAAAAATATAAGAAGAAAGTGCAATAAATAGAAAAATATTATACACAGATAATAATTGCTAATATTTCTCCTTCTGAGCAAGATTACGCTTTAATTAAATATAAAAGAACTCAAACTATACTGGGTGAAATATTAAACACAAATTACATAAACGCGAGTGATTTAGAGATACAGAAATGGATTGTAAAGAGTAAAAACGTACCCTGGATCAGATATCTGATCACAATTGATCACAATTGAAAATAAACTTAAGAAAATTAAAATAAAATCCATAAAGAAAATTTATATAAACAGATTAAAACAACTTTAAACTAAAAGTCACAGAAAAATTAAATATGGCAAATATTTAGAAATTACAAGTACCAGTTCTTAGAGCTTATTATGAAAAGGAAGGTGGAAGGAAAACGGTTCATCGTAAGAAATATTCATGGCTTAAGGCCGATCCTCGCGATTCTGGGCATAGGTAAATTCCAATGTAAAAGTTTATATCAAATAACGCAAAAACTATGGCAGATATTGAGATGATTCTTTTTTTATATGGAAGGTCTAAAAAAGTTCTAGTGCACTATTTGGTTGTAAATTAATAAATTGTTTAAACAATATTTTTTTTCAAATATTTTTGGTTAAAATAAACGAAAAAAATTTTTTTTTTAAATAGGGCACTACAGAATTTGACCCACTTCCCGAATCTGTTTTTATTTTTAACATAAAGTGTAACACAAAGCAGCTATTTGATATAAACTTTTAAAAAATTTCAAATTTTTGCTAAACGCAATTTTCTCTCCGTCAGCACAGGGTGTCCTTGTCGGTAGCTTCTCGTGGATTCTCGCCAGGTAGGTAAAACCCTCGGAGGAGGATAAATAAAGTTGAATAACATTATTAGGGCTTATTCCGACTTTTGACAAACCAGTGTGTTTATTGTATTTAAAATAGGAAATGTTATATAAATAAGCAGTAAGTACCTATGATTTTATTAAATTTTTATACGAATAGAAACATTTTCTGTTGATTTTCCATTTTCTTTCTAAATATTTATACTGTTTTTATAATAATACAATTGTTTCAGTATTTGCTTATATAATAATAATTTATTATATAGAAACAGCGTAGAGTTTTGGTCAATCATCCAGTACATTTTTTTTGTATTTCAATCAGAATTATTATTTTCTTTTCTTCTTTACATGAGCTCAGAGTAATAACCAAATTTGCAGTATTTGAATATGAAATTTAATTATTTATATTTATTGGTTAGCAACCTACCAATCGTAAAATCAAATACTGCTCAAAGAAACAATGTACCGTCTCGGAACCGGATTGATACTATGAAGACGACTACGGCAAGAAATAAGGACAAGCGAAAAACATCCAAAACCCAGATGAGAATTACTTGGAATATCAGATCACTCAACTCAAGGGACCAAGAAATAACCCAAGTGTTGAAAGAGAAAGAAATAGACATTTGTGCTCTACAACAAACAAAAAATAAAGGAAAAGGTCAATCAAAATTAGGTGAATACATACTAATCTACAGTGGAGTAGCAAAAGAAAACAGGGCCAAAGAAGGTGTAGCCTTACTAATACACCAAAGGTATCAAAATTACATCAAAGAGTGTCAATACATATCAGAAAGAATAGTAACATCAAAGATAAGAATGGAGAAGGAAAACCTGAACATTATCGGAGTATACGGCCTAGAAAATAATAAGCCTCAAACAACAAGGGAAGTGTTTTACGACCAATTACAACAAGTAGTAGATCAAGTCAAAGAAAAGATGATAATTCACAGCTAATTTGATTATAATAATTAAGGAACCTCATTTTTTGCCATGTTAAGGAATGGGATTTGTATTTTTTGTTAAAAAATTTGCACAAACATTGTACCTCTACAGGACCCCCTACGAATTTTCAAAAATGTAGTTCAAATGGCGACTAGGAAGAACCTACAAATCCAAACCGAACAAGCAATTTCAAACTAATAAAATTTTCTATATCTCCGGATCTACTCAATGGATTTTGATCATTCTTATTTTTTTATTTTGTATGATCTATTTTTAATTTGTATGTAATTTCTACGTACATTAGGAATTAGTAATTTGTTTATATATTAATTCATTAATAAATAGTCTAGTTTGTTTAAACAATTCGTGCAAAACAATTTTCTTCCAAAAATCTATTTTTTTTAATACTCGTATCAATAATCATAGAAACAGTCGCGTTTTTTGCATTAAATTGTCAATAATTAAAAAACAGCTCCAAATTCAAGGCAAAAAAAGAAGTAGGTTTTCTTCCTAGAGGTCTACAATAACTAAAAAAGTTGTCAGCGACCTGGATTATTGAGTGTCACGAACATGGTCTATTTTTTGCTTATTTCCCTGGAGTATATATTTGATTAACATCTGTGTAATTTCTTTGTCGCTTCCTCGCTGGTTTTGCATATTGCTATGATAGCAATATCTTCGGTAAATGTTGCAATTGTATATTTTCTAGGACAATAATATAACACGTATACAAAAGGTAAAGACACTTCTTTGTGGCAGCCCTGCTGTAATATCTGTCAATTCCATGTATGTTTCTTCCTGTTTAATTCTGAAATATCTTTCCAAGATGCAGGAGTCAATTATTTGAGAGTATCGTTTTGGTAAATGTAGTCTCAGTTTATAGTTATGGCGTCTTTGCCATACTTTATCATATACCTGAGTCACATCCTATTTTATTGATATAAGGTTGAATGCTCCAATAAATGAACTTTAAAAAATGAAGGCAAATTTCAAGCACAAATTTAATAATCAAATCTTGCCCAAGTACTTTCGCTTTCTACAGCATCATCAGGGGCATCTGCGCTTGCTGGATAGACCAAATTTGACGAAGTAAGTCTAAAATGTTAATCACAAAAAACTTTTATCGTCCATTAACTTCGAGTTTTTTATCGAAGTTTATTAATTTTCTTCATTTAAAAAAAACTTTTCTTGGCTTATTTCAGATTCCCCTGATGATGCTGTAGAGAGCGAAAGTACTTGGGCAAGATTTGATTATTACATTTGTGCTCGATATTTGCCTTAATTTTTCAACGTACATCCTAAAATGTCAAAATGTCCATCATAATATCCTTTATGATCCATATTTCACATCCATATAAATAGTTATACAGTATATTTCATCATCATCATCATCATCAATGGCGCTACAACTCTTCGTAAGTCTTTGCCGCGGTTACTATTGCCTTCCATGTTTGTCGGTCCTGTGCCAGTAATTCCCATTGTCGCACTCCCATTTTCTCTAGATCTAGGAGTATATTTACATATAACAAATTAAATCCTTAGTTGTAAATTTTTGAAATAAGTACTCAGTATACATCTAAGTTTTATAAATGCTCCTCATAAATCTCATAAATCTAAACTTTTGTACTCCGTTCTTTGTTGACAATTAGTTGCATAGGGCCGACGTTTACTAACCACAAGCACACAAGTAAATTATCTTATTTCTTTCATTTGACAATAATAATTGTCTGTTAGATTAGCACTGTAAGAAGTAAATTAGTCTCTTACTGAATGATAATAAACAACACATCAAACTTATTCTGAAACTATTTCTTGTGTCATGGTATATTTTATTAGATTTTGGTGTAATAAATCACAACCTATCAAATTCAATATCAAAAATCAAAATTGGAAATGATAGCGTGACTAAATTATTCCTTCCTTCAAGAAATTTTAAAAAGAACTGATTTCTATTACTATCCAGTGCAAGGACAGTTATTTTGTTATTTATATCGAATAGAGAATACTGTTAGTTTGCGGTATGGACCCCAAAAAATATTTTATTCGAAAATATTGATAAATATATGGAACTGTGGGAAAATATGCTACAAAAATTTCAAGATTTTTATTATAATTTTTATTTGAAACACCTAAAGAAACATTAGACATAATTCTATATTTATAATATAGTTTCATTTTATCAATTTTAATGATCGTGATACTAATTAGATAAGATTTTTATTATAATTTTTATTTGAAACACCTTCTGAAGAAACATTAGACATAACTCTATATTTATATCGTTTCATTTTATCAATTTTAATGATCGTGATACTAATCAAATTTTTGTGATATATAATAATAATCTTTTTTTTTATAATTTTTATTTTCCGTAAACTTTAATCTACGTTAAACTTCAGACAGCCAATTTTTCCGTAAAAAAAATAACAAATAAATTATGTATGTACATTTGTTACATTGTAAATTTATGAATAGATTATATTACTTTGATCTGTTATTATATTTACTCAAAATACCACTAAAGAGATTTATGGTCTTATTGTAAGACAAAACCTGTCACTGCAGGGGTTGTCTCGGTGTATAATCGGCTCGAGTAAAAGGTAAACGCATTTTTGACCTGGGCTTGAAAGAGATCTAAACGAAGTTTAGAATATTACTTCATGAACAGATTTTGTTTTCGTAAAGAAAGAAATTTTTGAAATAGAGATAGCAAACTGAAATTTACCGTTAGAATATTCGAGGATAAGCCTTAAAAAAATAAGGAACTGGACAAACCTCCATGCCCATTCACTCTTTAGAGCCACATAAGATCGAAAGGAGTATGCTAGAATTAATGCTAATTTTGAAATACTAATTTTATTAAATTTTGATACGTATTGGAAAGATCTATAATATCAATCTTAATATTGATAAAATTTTGATCTTTTTTATGTGAAACATCTCCAATATGCATCTTTTTTTGTAGTTTTGTTTTTTTCTTCAAAAATCTGTACATTGCTAGAGAATGCTTAGCGAATGCTTTAGTGTATAACCAATACACTATCTTTGTGTGCAACAAATCTTTTATGTAGACATTGGTGTGTTTGCCCAATGTATATTGAATTCTATTCTTTGAATTGCAGGTTTAAATTCTGAAAAATATTTTCCGACTATTTTTGATGATATATGCCCAACAATGATATTATATTTTGCCAATATTTTCGAAATTTGCTTAGAGAATTCAATAACGTTTGATTAGAATATATATAGTGTTTGTTTAATTTTCTGACATTACTATTATAATTGACAGGTATGGTTTGGGTTTGTTTTGGATTTTTATCGGAATTAGATTGATTTCTGATAATTCATTACATTACTTGACACTCTTTGGTTAATTTCCTAATTATGACACGTATCAGTGGTCACTTAGAAAACATTTAAAGGCCAGTACAGTATTTAGAATTCAGTTCAAATCAGTCTGCCTTTAGCCTCAGGTCTCTTCACATATATGGGTGCTTGCACTCTTAAAACCAAAGTTTTAATGTGCTTTTTAGGCTTTCCCTTTTAATGAATTTTAAAAAAGATTCTAAATTTTAATAAAAACATTTATTCTTTTCTTAAACGATGGGATTCCATATAGATAATTACCTACATTGAATTATTATATTCTCTAGAAGATAGCTTTTGTAAGCTTAAAGCGCTTATCTAGAAATTAAATGTTTAAACACTTTTAAAGACCTCTTCTTTTTAACTCATTTATAAAATACATTACCTGGCACCCATCAGTTGTCTTTCCTCCAGCACACACTATCTTATTTTTTACTATAGCCTCCGGTAATACACCTTTTTCAGTAGGAACAAGGGTGTTATTGCAATTTTCATTACTATCAAAATTAAGGAAAAGTTGTATCATGTTTGTTTGCTTGTCTTCTCCAATGTCAGTTGGACGCCATCCTTAAAAATACAAAGAACAATAAGAATAAATAGGAATAATTCGATAGTTCTATATAAAACTTGATAAACCTTTTCATGTAGAACAAATCTAAATTGTATATACAATATAATAAAAAAATGTATACAACAAAGCAATAAGAGAAGCGCAAAGAGAATTTTGTCAAGTATTGTCATACTATCCACAAGATTATTTTCAAAGATCCGGTCAGGGACTAGGTTTAAAATACCTTAAGGTACCTCTACCGAATCTAAAGAGGAAATGTCTTCTTCTTACGGTGCCTTATCCTTAAGGACGTTGGCCATTACATTTGCCCATTTAATCTTATTTGTAGCAGCCCTGAATAGTTCTATGGAGGTCATGTTCGTCCATTGCCGTAGGTTTTTAAGCCAAGAGTTGCGTCTTCTTCCTGGTCCTCTGGGGAAAGAGGAAATGTAAGATCTTTTATTACCGAACCATTTTCCAGAATCAATAATTAATAGTGAGCAGACTCAAGTCAAACTTAGGTCTAAAACTCTAATACAAACTAAACCTTCTACTCGTCCTAATTTTTTCTCGTTTCAGACCTGCTAGGTCGTCCTTCTTTAATGCAACTCTCTAACCCTGGAGCTTAAAAGATAGATTTCAATAAACAAATATTGCGTATTTGTTATAATTATTATAAGCTAAATATAAATTAAGAAAAAAACTGAAATAAAATCTGTAAAAAAGTTTTAAGTATTAGAGATAATATTATGAAAAACTGAACTGATATCGATGGATTCGACTGTTACTTGATGGAAATTCATTTTATGTAACAATAAAACACTGAAAACTTTGTTTTCAAACTTCCACAAAATTTATTTTAAATCTTATCACTACAGCTGTTTCGGCTGATTGCCTTTCTCAAGTGATCTATTTTTGGCTTGGGTTTACAAATTTATAGTCTCTAATGAAATAGGTTGAGGAGGGGAGAACTGTTTGTCTCAAGTTGGTCATTCAGAATTATATCTGTGTTTTTTAATTTGTTGATTTCCATAGATTCTAACAAAGATAGCTTAAGGCCTTTATTTTGAATGTGAAGAATTTTAAATTTGTCATTAAAAATGATTATGATCTAGAAGTGAAGTGCTATGTCGAATCTTTTTCTATTCTTGAAAGCCCTTTTATGTTCTGCTATTCGTTTATCAAAGTTTCTACCAGTTTGACCGATGTAAGTTTTTGGGCAGTCGCCACATTGAGTTTGTACACACCACTATTTAAGTGTTTTTTATTTTGGCTCTTGTTATTTTTAATATATTTGCCTAGGTTGTTATTTGTTCGGAAAGCTGGTGTTTTTCCTTTCTTTTTTATGTGTTTGGCAATTTTTGTTGTTATTTTGCCTGTATATGTAATCGAGCAGAGGGTACTGGGTTTTTTCTCTGGTGGTGGAAATACTAATTTCAGGGCTTTCTTGTGTAGTTTTTGTGTTAAATCAAATTTAACTACTTATGTTTCTATTCTTAGTTAATCTCTGCTAGTTGTTTTTTACTTACCTGTATGAATACCTGGTCCAGCTGGGTTCTCGTTGCTAGTGTATAAACACACTGGAGTCACAAACTGATTAAAGTTAAAATCTTCTTTGACCCTAATAAGCGCTATATATAAAAGGGCTAGAATAGTGTGAATGGATCGTATCTGCTCATTTGTCACATCCTTTTCATCTGTCACTCCAGCTCTTACAAATTCTGGCTGATCTCTATAAAACATTTTAATATAGATATTATTATTACTTTTGTGACATTTGAAAAATAATTGTTATTTAACCAAAAATTATATTAACTATTTTTGTTTTAGCTGGCATAATAACTATGGTTTTTCTTGTACTTACGCCCCTTCTCCAGAAACACATTGGGTTGAGGTAAGAACGTAATTTTTACTAATAATGAAACCACTACAAAGATATTTAGTTTCATTATTTTTGATATAAGCAAGTTGTACCTAAAATATGGAAATAGAGATTAGATTCAAATATATACAATATAATAAAAGATAAAAAACTACATTTTTTTTAATGACGGGAAAAAGTCACAAAATGTTCTGGTGGCAAATCAGTTGTTATTTTAGCACTGCTACTTATTCGAATACTTGATTATGTCTGGTTTCATAGCTTGTCCTGACGTCTGATCTATGTAATCATTGTAATGCTGAGAAGATATAACAAGAAAATTTCGGTTTTTTTTGGTACGTAGGAAACTATAGTGGAGTGTTCCCCAAAACCAAACATAGTTGACATTGATGGTCGCCCTTTTGCATTTAGCAGATTTACTGGCAGTTCCCTTTTATTTTTTTTTGTGGCAAAATACGACAGTCTATTATTTTTTTCATTATAATTTATTTTCTATTATAATTTTCTAACGACATCAGATGATCTCTTACTTTGTTCATAGGGTCCCTGGGATTGCTTGCAAGTAATAATTTCCAGACTATAACTACAAAAAGTACTACATCACACATAGCATAAATTTTTACTGCCAATTTGGATGGCTTTGAAGGGATATATTATTTGAACTTGCAACGTCCCCTAAAAGCCTCGAGTTTTTCGTCAATAGTTATACACTCTCCTAGTGAATAGGTATGTTTACAATTCTGAACAAAATCGTCGAAGAGTTCACGAATCTGCGCAATGTTGTCAACAGCTTTCCCTTTAGGTCTTGTGATGCGATCATCCCATGCGGGCATCTCATAAGAAACTTGAACCTTCTGAGACTCATAACCAGTCGAAATATTTTCACACCGTGTCCATTTGTACTCCAGAGATCCTCTTACATTATTTTGTTGATTTGCAAAGTTCCTGCTAGATATAAAAGGCCTATGAAGGCCTTGAGTGTCCGTGTCAGTTACATCACGTTGTCGGTCAAAGCGATCCCTTACTTCAAGATGTATGTACTAGGTTGTGAACTTGACTATTGTTTGTAGCAGTTTATAAAAAAGTATCTGACTCCAGCATTCTATATGTAACTTAGCTAGTCGTACTTCATGTATTACTCCTGGGAGATGTGTAATCAGGTTTTGTGGCTCAGTGCGTCGCTTCTTCGCGCGCGGTGTTTTTTATCCATCTAGTGGTTTTATCTTTTCCAAAGTAAAATAAATTGTCATGTAAATGGCTCTTCCTCTATCCCACTCCCTTCAGTATCAGAGTCACCAACTCGTTCACTCATTGGCTGATCTTCCGCATCTGTGTCTAGTTCATCCTCGAAATCTTCCACTTGGTTAGTGGCATCTTCATTTTCTTCCCCTTCTAACATAAATTTTCAAAGATATTTTACATCAATCTGCTTTGCAGCCAATATACTAAAAATAAATATATAAAATAACACTAACCTATAATAAGTAAGCCGAATATAGCCTAAAATACGACCAAAGTAAAACAACACTTACATGTTATGTCGCAATGTATCAATATGATACAATACGCTTGTATGTAAACACACTCAATTACTAGGACGTTACGAATACAACTGAGCGGTAGACTAAACCGCTCTAAGAAGTTACTATAAAGGTGGGTTCAATAATAAAAAGCATTGAACACTGGCGAGCTTGTATTATTTTGATACACATGCGATCGAGGAAGGGTTAATAGTCATTTTTTATTCCCATAAGGGTCTTTATAAGCGATAGGAGCATCTATAGTTTCTTATGCCTCACCCTGTATTTCAATAATAAATAAAATTAAGCAGAAAAATATTCACCAGTTCGAACTAAGATCGAATATGTCTTTCCTTGTATAATAAAAAACTCTTACCATATGAGCAAATTCTCCTTTTCCTGCTACATTTCCTCTAATAATGCTTGTATCTAGCGGGACAGGACAAATATTATTCTTTTTGATATCTTTAGTGTATTTTTTACACACTGAAATATAAAAAATGTATTATTATCAATTTATCAATGAAATAATTAAAATTTCTGAAAACTTACTTTCATTGGCGACAGCACCTGGATTTGATTCTAAAACTAAGAAAGAATATAATTTAGTTTGCTTTCTACAAAGCTAACTATAGTATTTTTCGCAGTAAAATCATTTCACGTCACGATTTATATGTACTGACGTCTCTTATATTTAAAATCTCCATAACATCAACCTTAGTGAGAGCGCCCACCAAAGTGGCGTGGCACGTAGCAAGTGGCAAGTAGCACGCGTCTAGCATGTTTCTTAAAATGTAACCAATGAAAACGAATGATTCAGCGTACACCAAAATGACAGTGACGTCATTCATTCTAATCATTTGTTTCATTGGTTACATTCTAAAAAACATGCTAGACGCGTGCTACTTGCTGCTTGCCACGCCACTTTGGTGGGCGCTCGCCCTTAGTGAGAGCGCCCACCAAAGTGGCGTGGCAGTGGCAAGTAGCAAGTAGCACGCGTCTAGCATAATGTAACCAATCCTAACGAATGATTAGAATGAATGACGTTACTGTCATTTTGGTGTAAACTGAATCATTCGTTTTCATTGGTTACATTATGCTAGACGCGTGCTACTTGCTACTTGCCACTGCCACGCCACTTTGGTGGGCGCTCGCCCTTAGTGAGAGCGCCCACCAAAGTGACGTGGCACGTAGCAAGTGGCAAGTAGCACGCGTCTAGCATGTTTCTTAAAATGTAACCAATGAAAACGAATGATTCAGCGCACACCAAAATGACAGTGACGTCATTCATTCTAATCATTCGTTTTCATTGGTTACATTTTAAGAAACATGCTAGACGCGTGCTACTTGCTACGTGCTACTTGCCACGCCACTTTGGTGGGCGCTCGCCCTTAGAGTTCAAGTTTGCCTAACACAGCTAAAAATACGACACCAATTCGGAACTGCTCGATCTTTCATAGACGTCAACATTATATTATAATAGAAAATGTAATCGGGATAATATTGAGAATTTTAGAATTATATTGTGTAAGTATACAAGAACATGTTTTCTCATTATTAATAGTATAAATTTTATTCAACATTTCTTTATGTTTAAAGCATTCGTTAACAGCATTCAAGTAGCTAGATTTTTGTCGGAGAAGAAAGTTACGTTGATTGGGAAGCTGACAAAAAATAGGAGAGAAATTCCTCCACATAAATGAAGAGAAGTTCAATTTAGCATAATATATTTGGATTTCAAAAAGAGTATATGAATACCTTTTTATTGACGGCATATATACTTTTGTTCTACATTCTGCTGCAAATTCTGGAAAAACACTCAAAAGGCTACATTTTCAAATCGTGCAAGAGTTTGATGACAGAACACCTTTATACACGACCACAAATAAAAACACCTCCACGTGATACAACCGAGTTTCTGTAAAGCAACCAGTTTCTCACCAAGAAGACGAAAATCCTGCTTATCGTGGTAGAAATGTACAAAATGTAGGACGTTCCCTTGTAAACAACACTCCTAATTAATATTTCTTCTTCTTTTTCTTTCTCTTTATAAGCAATTCTGCTTGTTCATTGGCGAATTCATACCCCTATGAAAGGTTGTCACTCCATCTTTTGCGTGGTTATTTGATATTTCTGTAAGTTGTCCATCTATTTTGACTTCCATTTTGTTGTTTCGGTAGATGTTTTCGATAGTTTTTATAATATTTAGAGGAGCTTCTCTATTATAAGGAAGATGGATTACATCTTTAAGTTTTACTCCGTCAAACGCTTTCTTTGCATCAATTAGGCACAGAAATGCTGGTCTATTGTACTCTATCATTTGTTTTTTAACCAGGAGGAGTAATTCAAATTTATTGCACCGTAATGCTTGTTTGTCATTGTTCCAACCCTTTGCAAGTTTACTCCACTAAATTATGACATTTTAATACTAATTAACTAATTATTTAAACTAAAAAAGATTCAGAATTACTTAACGACGTATTAGTGTTATTAAGATAACCATATGGATTCAATGTCAAGTATTATTGGTAATTATCCTTCTACATCTAAAAAACGCCGAGTAGTTTTGGGTCATTTATCATCAAATGAAAAATAGTGCATTATAAACATGTACAAACAAATAAAATTAATAATCCTGGAATAAAAATAACAGCCATGTTCGCAAAAATAAAATAAGCAACATGTTAGTTTTGCAGAATAATTATTGTCTGTAAATCAAGACATACTAAAGTAATGTGATAATTTTAGGTGCGAATTCAACTATTTACAAACAATTAAGTAATATAAGCAGACTGGAATAGTAAGATGTCCTAAAAATATTGGCGATCGAACTTCTATCCTTGCAACATACGATGAAAAAGTTAAAACATCTGTATGACAGATAGTACACAGCTTCTTTTTTTTTTAGGAATGATATGCCCACTTTAAATAAAATTTTAAGTGAAATAAAATAAATATTTATTTTATCACTCAATATGAATTGCTGATTTGCAAGTTCCAGAGAGGAGTAGAATTTGAAGCTCAAACAAGACCTGTAGGTAGACGATTAGTAATGTATGGTACTAGGTAGGTCAATAATGGTGAATGGGTATTGGTTATCAAAGCGTTAGTCAACGTGAAGCAGACCTCTAAGGAAATAAGGAGATGCGGGTATGAGTAATATCAAAAAGATAACAATTGGAGACTAAAAGCTGATAGTAAATAACAAAATAACGTAAAAATTGTATAACCTACGATAAACAGAAAAGGTCTGTTAACTCCTTTAAAGATAATAAGAATAATTATATCAATAATAACACGATTTCGATCGAGACTTCTTGAAATAATATAATATAGTACTTATTATTAAAAATAATGATTGAATACTACTATGAAATGTTCATTTGCATATAATATTAGATAAACTGATCAATATATAAATATAAAATGCATGATTATACCAACAATTTTTACTATAAAAAAAACTAAATTCAGAACTCTTTATCATACTTGTATCTGGCTTACCTTGGGAATCTCCATTTACAAAGTTTAAATGAAAGCATAATACAACGATTAAGAGAGTCACACCCTTCATTTTCACGTTGTTCTTATTAATATGTCGATGAATTTCTTAAATGTAGCAGTTCTCAGTCAACAAAGTTATTTAAAGATACTTCTTGGAAAACACAGTGACCACGTGAAGGTATGTTAATTATTGGGAATTTTAAAATTTTCTATATACCAGTCAGAAGAATAAAACAACAACAGTGTGTAACAAAAGTGTAGCTGATATATTTAACCACATATTATTTTTTTATAAAGTATAATCAGCAATCTATTAATTATAAACAATGTAATTATAAGCGTCTTGGGGGTTCGAAATATAAATTGACTTTAGAGAGGTCACTCCAATGATTGGACTTCTGGTATGGAACAAACATTCATGTATATTTCAGACATACCGATAATCTGCCATATACATGCACTTATGTGGCATATTATGGTATGTTTAAACTATCTTACGGCTTTATTATTGTTTATTTAATCTTGCTGCTGCCTTGTGTTTTGTCATAATATCTTCATTAGTCACCTCTTCTCTTTAATTTAGTTTCTAATATTGACGGGGCAGTTTCTAAGAGGTCCAAGAGTAAGAACATTCTTACTCTTAGATATAAATACAGTCTAACCTGTCACATCCGAACTTGTTACATCCGAACCTCCCCATATGCGGATAGTTCGTGGAATAACTTTTTCGAAGATATAAACGGCTCCGCGCCTATGTAGTTGTCTACGAATGGGTGTATTTCTAGCCTGGTATGTGAACTTGAATAACTCTTCCTACCGTTTTGACGTGATCTTTGTTCCTTCGTTGTTTGTTAATCGTTTTTGTGGTAATATGGCCGAGAAAAGAAACAAAAATGTGACAACAATGGAAGACAATGGAAGTTTCGTGTGTTCAAGAGGCTAGATGCTGGTGAAACGGCCAAAAAGATTACTGTTAAGATGGGTGTAGGGACTAGCACTGTGAATGACTGGAAAAAATCTAAAAACAAAATTGAAAAATTGTGCTCATCGCAGGTATCAACAACTGGAATAAAGAATCTGAAAATTATTAAAAACACCCCTAACAACCATATTAATGAGTGTTTGTATCTTTGTTTCATTCAAAGGAGGGAGCAAGAATTACAAATCTCAGGGCCTATATTAAAAAAAAAGCTTCAACAACAAAACACTTCAACAAATAAATTCGAGGTGATAATGATTTCAAGGCAAGTGAAGTATGGTTGCAGAGTTAGAAAAATCGGTACGGTTTGCAGAGGCTACAGATAGGTGGTGAGAAACTGTCTGCTGACTCAGAAGTTGTCGACATCTTCAAAAGACCTTGCACAGCTTACTAGAAAAGAAGGAAATACCGGAGACCAGCTTTACAATTGTGACAAAACAGGTCTCAATTATAAAATTCTGCCGACTTACCCTCTGGCTTAAAACATGAAGACAGTGCACCAAGATTCAAGAAGAAAATGGAAATAGTGACAATTTTAGTCTCCAGCAACGCTATAGGATCTCACAAACTTAAGGCTTTTAAAACTTTTCTTCCCTGTCAGATTGGTACCGTCATCAAAAGAGTGCTTGGATGAACAGTCTTTTATTCAAAGAGTGGTTTTACAATCAATTTGTACCAAAGGTTGAAAACCATTTAGCAAAAAATAATCTACCGAGAAATACATTCCTCTGTCAGCCTATGGACCAAGGTGTTGTAGAATCTATAAAACGTGTCTATCGACAAAAGTTACTGACGGCATTGATTGCTGGAATGGATTAAGGAGAAAACGTTACAGAGGCTCTTAAAAAATGGACATGTTGGATGTGGTGATGTGGGTGGCACAAGCATGGATGACATAAAACCAACAACAATGGTAAAGTTATGGAGGAAGCTGTTAGACCACAAAACATGTGATGAATGGACGGGAGAAAAACCAGAGGAAGGTACCGATGAAACTTTCAACGAAGAAGAGATTGCTGAACTGGTAAAGAACCTACCGGGATTTAAAATAATGAAGGAAGTCGATGTTAATAAGTGGTTAAGTGCAGACGAACAGAACGAATTAACAGACGGTGATATACTGAACATGGTGTTTCAGAATGATGATATAAACTCAGACAGCAAAGGGGATGAAAGCACTGACAAAAATCCGGTCGTAATAAGCCACTACGAAGCATTTATGTCGTTAGAGGCTCTGCTGTGCTACATTGAAAGTAGAGAAGATACTTGTGCAAGTCACGTGATGCTCTTAAAACGGATGAGGGACATGGCTTTAAAAAAAACGTATACAACGTGAAAAGCAGCGGAAATAACCAATATTTTCGATAACCAATGTCTAAGTTGTAACCTTTTTTTATGTAGTATATAGTATGTATGTACTATACAACACTACACTACAGTACTACAAAATAAAACCAAATTCATGGCGACTAACACAAACACAAGAGCTGGAAATGTTGACACAAATTTAATCATCAATGACCAAAACTTCGAAGCAGTCAATGAATTCATAAATCTAGGGACATCGGTTAACCCCAATAATAATACATCTGAGAAAATAAAAAGGCGAATAATAATTGCAAACAGGTGTTATTATGGTCTATCAAAGTACTTAGCTAACAAACGTCTGTCTCAAAAAACTCGTATAAGGCTGTATAGAACACTGATAGTCCCCGTTCTTACATACGGATCAGAGGCATGGACGCTAACGAAAACAGATGAATCCGCTCTATCCATGTTTGAAAGAAAGGTGCTACGCAATATATTTGGAGCGGTCTGTGAGAACGGAATATGGAGGCGTAGATATAACTTCGAACTGCAGAATATCTACAAGCATACGTTTGGTGGTAAAGATATTACCACTATAATTAAGCGAAACCGCCTGCAGTGGGCAGGACATGTAGCCCGGGCCCCTGAATCGAACATGATAAAAAAGATTCTAACAGCGCAACCTGTGGGAATGAGACGACGGGGTAGACCAAAGCTGAGGTGGATGGATGGGGTAACACAAGATGCGGAGAAGATCGGATTCGGCAACTGGAAAATTCAAGCAAGGGACAGAACAGAATGGCGTAGAAAGCTTGAGAAGGTCGAGGCCCTCTAAGGGCTGTAGCACCAAGATGATGATGATATAGTATGTATGTACTAAGTTACAGTACAGCTTGAAATCTTTATAATGTTTAGGTTTTTGTTTTTCCTTTGTTATCTATGTAATGTATGTATGTATTGTATTTTAATCCTAATATTAAATTCCTAAAACGCTATAAGCTATGTATTTTAAATATTTCAGGCCGTTTACAGCTCTTTTTTTTAGATAGTCTTGATATCCAAATTTTTTCATAACCGGATCGGTCGGCCGCCACATTGATCCGGATGTTACAGGTTATACTATACATATTTCAATAATATGTCTTTGGATTTCGACATTCTGGTCACGTGTTTTATTTACCGTATTTCCAAGGTATTTGCAGTTATTCACTTTTCTGATAGAGGTTTATCAATTGATTAATGAGGGCTATATGCCTTATTATCATGAACTAAGAGGCGTCCGAATGACCCCTAATGGACTGTATTAATTTCACCAACGCTTGATTTTAATCACACCCCGTCCCGGGGTGGTAAGTTTGTCTAATCCTTTTTTAATATAAATTAGAATAAAAAGTTGAGTATAGTAAATACAGATTTTATTTCTGAATATACGCTAATACTAAAAGCATGGACCTTATACAAATATTAATTTAGCACAATTTTGTACCGCAATATGAACTCAGTAAATACTATATACCATGACGAAATAGTTCAGAATTCAAATAAAATGTCAAAATGTTTTTATATCTATCAAAAGACTGATATTTTTTGTACACACTCATGACAAGTAGAAAGAAAATGCAAAAAAGTATTTTTGAAGTGTGTATATTTTAGGCAATTCCTAGCTGAGCGCTTTCGGCTTTACAAAGCCATCATCAGAGCTATGCTACAATAAAATGTTCTAGTAAGTACTAATTGGTAAAGATTGAAATTTTTAACTTACGTCAATTTTTAAATACCACTACAAAGGAGAGATCTCATTTCCTTAAGTTTCAAAATTATGATTTTTTGTAGGAGTTGGAATTCTTAAAACATATAAAAAACATATAAAAAGTCGACACTGGACTTCACAAACACGTTAAAAAATTGAAAAAATTTTTGTCATGGTACGGGTTTAAGACCCGACCATCTATTGATGTGAGGACGTAGACTGAATAGAACTAGTGAAATCAAATGTCGGTCCTTTTAAACGATTTTTCAAAAGTGACAGGTGACAAATGTCATATATAGGAAATAGAGATTGTTTTTTTAAATTCTTACAAAATTATTTAGTAGTTTGGAATTACTACTAGTCAACAAAGACTTTCTAAAAATTAAGTTTTTAAATTAAATTTTATGTGTTCATCACATCATACAGAATGACATTAATTTGTAAATTCACTCAAGTCATTGCTCAAGGTCAATGTATGTTCAATCTGACAGCTATCCTTAAGGAACAAGGGCTCAAATTGTTCAACAACACTATAAAGAAGAAACCTGGTATTAATGTTATGTTATCTGATACTTAAGTGTATTAAGAATTGTATGTCTTGATGGAAAATTGTAAGAACTTTGCATAAAAAATTTTTTAAGAATGTATTTTCATGTTTCAATTAAGAACAACTGTCAAATGAATTACAAAATGTTGTAAATTTTAATAAAGTTTAAAATTTGTTTAAAAAATAAAAGTATGAAAAATATATAACAAGATTGCATGAGGTCACCCTTCTTCCTCTAAAGTCTCCCATAATAATTTAAAAAGAGGTTTATAGTTGCAATTGAGGTTGATTTGTGTGTTTAAGCAACAATCAGGGTTTATTTTCATTTCTTTGGATATCTCTAGATCTTCCAAGAGATTCATGAGTCTAAAGTTTTTATTGGGAATGTTGTGTAAAATTTTACTGTTTTCAGAAGGAGAAAAAGAATGATTATTAAATTTAATGTGATATCCAAAGTTTGATTTTTCTGGGTTATTGAGGTGTTCTTTGATTCTTTGATTCAGAGTTCTCATTGTTCTACCTACATAAGTCATATTACAGTCACCACAGGACAGCTTGTAAATACCACTTCTGTTTAGTTTGTCAACTTTGTCTTTGGTCTTGCTGAAGATGGACTTGATGTTATATTTGGTTTTAACCAAAGTCTATTCAGTCTATTCAGTCTACGTCCTCACATCAATAGATGGTCGGGTCTTAAACCCGTACCATGACAAAAATTTTTTCAATTTTTTAACGTGTTTGTGAAGTCCAGTGTCGACTTTTTATATGTTTTTTATATGTTTTAAGAATTCCAACTCCTACAAAAAATCATAATTTTGAAACTTAAGGAAATGAGATCTCTCCTTTGTAGTGGTATTTAAAAATTGACGTAAGTTAAAATTTCAATCTTTACCAATTAGTACTTACTAGAACATTTTATTGTAGCATAGCTCTGATGATGGCTTTGTAAAGCCGAAAGCGCTCAGCTAGGAATTGCCTAAAATATACACACTTCAAAAATACTTTTTTGCATTTTCTTTCTACTAGTTTTTATATCTACCAAGTCCTGTCCTGAGCCATGTTAAAACTGAAATCACAGGTCTTCTTTGTTGTTGAACCACAGGTTGTAGCACTTATAAACACTAGAATTTATTCTTGTATGAATACGGCACTCTTAGCTAATTTTTACACTATTGCAATACTTCAAATTATAATGTATGGTACTGGTACGAGTTACCATAGATGAACTATTACTATTCTCCAACTAATTGCGAACATATTTCATCGATAAAAAACCATGATTCTCATTTCGAGATAACTATTATAGCAACATTCGTACAACTCCCAACGGTGAAAGACACTTCTCGACTCTCAAATCGAATATTAGCGGAAACGACAACGTGTGTACGCCCCAAAAAAGGACAAGGTACTGGCTGTTTAAAGTCGATCCGACCTCCTTCCGATGCATAATAATTCCCGTGAGCTGTGACGTCGGTTGTTTACGTTTTAAATTCTAAGAACATGGCTTTCGAAAAATAGCCTCTGTTAATATTTAGGCAGATTCTCGGAACATCAATCTTTAAAGCTTGACTTTAAAATAATTTAATTTGGACGTTTCGATTTCGACTTCGAAAATATTTTTCATAAAAACCACTATTATATTTTAAAATCCTGTGTTTCCTCTTATACAAATACGACATCAACACCGCTGGTCCCCTGATCTTTTTCCAACATCAACTTCTTTCGTTTTCTTGTCGATTTATCATCTCTTGTCCCTCCATAAAATAAAGTGACCCCGGCACAACCGAAAGACGGATCATTCTCGTCTGAGAGATTCTTATCTGCATTCTTACTGCGCGAACAAAAAAGGTTTATTGATGGGTCGTTCCTAAAATGAAAATCTGTTTTTCTATTAAACATCGAAAGCCTTTTTCTTCTACGGGAGGATAATGGTGCACAAATATCATTCGATTTTCATGTTTATCGATAAAGCGATCTCTCTGGCTGTATTAATGCTGTCAACGTTTGTAAAAAGGGTTCTAGTATATTACTCGAAAGCTGCAGCTTAATGTGGATCATTATTTATTTACGAATACAATATTTTTTTATCGAAAATAAATGGTTGGACCAATGAACTTGTAAGTTTTATAAATGATGTCGCCCTGAAACTATTTTCTTTTGGTATTTCTATATTATCTACTAATTTCTTGGGACTAAACCACAACTTTAAATATGTTATCATTAAATTAAAAAAAAATGTGAAGTATTAACAAATCTAATACTGCCATCCTAACATGAAACGTCCTATCTGCAATATTTGGGAATTGAGAAAATCCAGTTTTTGTTTCTCTTCATTGTATAACGCTTGATAATTTAATAAACTCCTTAGATTATATTTTATATAATATGTCGGAGAATGGAATTTAATTGCTTATCACACATTTGTTTTATTCTTTCCAGATTCGCCGATTTTTGATTATATTGTCACTTAGGAGAATTTAGCTTAGTGTATATGAAGTGTAACGGGTAGCTCTTTCGGAGCGACAGGCTCAGTAAAACACAGGTTGAAATAAAAATAAATCTATTAATTTAGCATATATACAATAAATAAAAATAAAATGAATTATACTCCCTATATACAATAAATAAAAGTAAAATGAATTCGGCTGTGCAGGCCCCACGGTAAAGTTCAATACACAATACCGATGGGTTCTGCTTGGTTGAGGACAGAGTATGATCCTCAATACGGAAA